CGTCTCGGTCCCCGTGGTGGGTCAGCCCGCCATCTCGGTCCCCGTGGTGGCCAGCCCCATGGCTTGCCCACCGTCTCGGTCCCCTGCCCTGGTCACCCTGTGGTCAGCCCGTGGTCGCCCCACCATCTCGGTCCCCTGGGCAGTGCAGGACCCGCTGTGGTGCCCTCAGGCCCAGACTGAACTGCCTGTTCCCGTGTTCCCATCACACAGGCACACACTGCAGCTATGATCTTTAAGATCTCGCATCTGAATGTCAGAAGCTTCCCTAGCCCTGCGTGGAGGGCCTGCGTGTGTCTGCACCGTGGAAGCCCAACAAGCTCGAGTCCTCAGGCAGCCTTGGCGTTGCCCACCGCACTGAGGACGTGAGCGCCCACACACCATTTCCTCCCCAAAGCACCGCCATGTTAAAGCTGACCCTGCATGTTCCAGAGGGAAAGACCGTGCTGCCAGCAGGCTGCTCCGCACCAGAGGCAGGAGGCTGCCCAGCCTGCCCGCCGGGGCTCGGCCCAGAGGTGCTCAGGCCTGGGCACCAGTCTGACCTGGCAAGCAGCCTGCCTGCCCAGGGCGCCTTCCCTGCCTCCCTGACACCTTCTCTGGGGCAGAGCCTTCCCAAGACAGTGCTGGTCCCAAGGCCGAACACAGACAGAAGCTCGGGGCCAGCACCATGTGGACTGAGGGCCTGCCCCCCACACCTCACCTGGCAGTACCCGATCCTGGGGTTGCGGTGGGCGTAGGCTGTCAGGACCCTCCTCAGAGCGGCGATGCCCGTCTCGGTCTGGAAGGCGGGGTGCTCCGGCAGGGACCGGTGCAGGTCCCGCTCGATCTCCTCCGTGGCCAGGCAGCAATTCCCCAGGGACTCCTCCACCAGGCGCCCGTAGTAGCCGGGATTCGAGGCGAGGTCGGTTATGGCATCTGGCGATGAAAGGTGTTTCAGGGAGGCGGGTTCCCGGGACAGCGTCCGCGGACACAAGACTTGCCCTGCCGGTGAACCTCAGCGGGTCTCCTGAAATATTTTGAGACTACACACAACCAAAATGACTTCATTTCTGCCCAGAACAAAGAGTATGGCCTTTCTAAGAACAACCACATATACAGGGCAAAAAGTTCATACTGTAAGTGATTAATGTGCTCCTCTAAGCTGTATTCCCTAGTGACAGAAAGAGGAAATGTGTGCGTGCACACACATGCATACTTTCACAGACAAACACACAACGTTCATACATTAACTCGACAAGAAAGAATTGAGTGCCCACGTGCCAACAGGAGAAGGTGCGACTACAGTGAAGCAACAGCAACAACTGTCAAGAAGCCAATGCTGCACCCACCCTGACAGTGCCCCGGCACCCACACTGACAGTGCCCCCGGCACCCACCCTGACAGTGCCCCCGGCACCCACACTGACAGTGCCCCGGCACCCACACTGACAGTGCCCCCGGCTCCCACCCTGACAGTGCCCCCGGCACACAGCACCCAACACGCACATGGACGGCTGCACTCACCTCGAACAGCTTCAATACCTCAGCAGCCCTCCTGCCAGCCCTTCTACTGCTGAGGCCACAGCCCGTGAACTGACTGAGCAGTCGGTTCTTTAATAAGCAGTGAGTGTGTGAACAGTCCCAGGAACCCCCGGATACCACAACCCATGGTGTCCAAGCCCTTCTACACTGCGTCGGGCCCGCACATTACCTGTGTCGCACGGGGCCACGCAGGGTCGGCTGCACATGCCCAGTCCCAGGGTGGGCCCACGCTGGGCGTGGGGCAATGCCGAGCACTGCTTTTTTAAACTTCCTGGGATTCCCCCCGAATGTTTTCAATGTGCTGGTTGAATCCACACATGGAACCGCAGGGACATGGGAAGCTAACCATACGTGTGCATCCAATCGGCCCACTGCCTGGCTGGGTGGCTTGGTGGTGGAGCGGCCCCCGTGCACCAAAGGCTAGGGGTTTAATCTCGGGCGGGGCCCGTACGGGAGGCAGCTGATCCCTGTCTCTCTCTCCCTCCCCTTCCTGTCTCTCTAAAATCAAGAAACATATCCTCAGGTGGGGATGGATAAATACAATTAAATTAAAATTAGGTAAAATCATAAAATAAAATAAAATAAAATTCGTTCATTAAAATACCTGGAAGACCATCCACCTAAACCGCTTTAGGAACTAGATCAGTGATTCCCAAAGTGGGCGCTACCGCCCCCCGGTGGGCGCTGCAGCGATCCAGGGGGGCGGTGATGGCCACAGGTGCACTGCTATTAAAATTTAAAAAAAATTAATTTCCAGGGGCTGAGTAATATTTTTTCTGGAAAGGGGGCGGTAGGTCAAATAAGTTTGGGAACCACTGAACTAGATGATGAGTAATGTTACCTTCTTTGCCCATTATTTTCTTTGAATACAGACTGTTTTATTAAATATAAAAATACAGAAGGCATTTTTAATTTGAAAAGATATTTAGGCAGGTGCACAGAAGCAATTGTGACAGGCTTGGGCAGTGCACCCAGAGTGCGGCCCTGCCCCATCCCTGCCCCTGCTCTGCCCCAGCCCTG